ACGCATAGCCTGGCTCAGCTAGAGATACGAAACAGGACAGGTAGAGAGAAGGTTCATAGTCTAGAACGACTTAGGAGAAATGTTTTAAAACTAGAAAACGTTGTGTATCAGAGATTCTGAAACTGTTTGGTTTTTTGGTCTTGTTTTGGTTTTACAGGCTGCAACATTATTGTTCTGGTTCATCAGTGTTTAGCAGCAGCAGGAAGGTGTGGCAGCAAAAAAACTATAAAAATCTACTATGCGCTCTCTAACCTGCATCAAATGGCACACAGACACAGTTAGTGACTAGATGGTGAACATAGTTTAATTAAAGCAGCTAAAAAGCCTGATATTTCTCCGAACTAGAGGATGAATATTGAACGTATGATGGATTTTTAAAGCTTCTTCCAAAACAAAGGATGAGATTGAACCAAAAAAGCAAAGTTGCGTGCCGGAAACCTACTACCTTTACTCAATTTGCACTGTTTACTGTTTTGCTTACTGTGGCTACTGTGTTATAAGTTAATTTAATTTTTAACTTTATTTTAATATAGGTTTAATGTATGTTTAATGTATGAATGTTTCATATGCTACTGGACACTTGAATTTCCCTCGGGATAAATATAAATAAAGTATCTATCCATCTAACATTTATCAACAGCTGATCTTATGACTGATTTTAAAATAGTAACTTTATCACATTAATTATTGCCATTTATAACATTTAAAACTGTTATATATATTAACATATTCTTTATTTACAGCCTATGAGGGTTAAACCTTTATTTATTTATTTATTGACTGACACAACAGGAAGTGAAGCTCTCTCCAGTCTCTCGCTCGGGGGCGTGGTTGGCCGATTGCTCTTTTAATGGCAACACTCTTTGTTTTTGCTTTTTTTAACCTTTAGTTTTTGTTGCTAAAACCTCGCTGCGAACTCCTTCACTTAGTACACGCACCACTTCACGCGTGGCACCGTGTAAAACAGGTATTTTAGCAGCTATTTGTTAACTTTTCATTCGCTGTCGCTTGTTGTGCAGCTTAGCAGCAGCTAAACCAGCGTTAGCTATGCGGCTAATGTTTTTATTTTTGCAGCGCCGCTCGGTTGCTGACTGATATCCGGACGAGCACAACCCTCTAACCTAAACACAAGCTTTATCTACACAGTGTCCGGATAGCAGAAGCTCTCACGCTGGAGGACCGACACTAACGATGGCGTTAACAGTGGACGTCCCCGCAGACGAGTGGCCCTGAGTCATGATTCAGCTGGACGAGTTAGCAGCAATGTCCTGCAAATCAACCAAAGTGGCCCCGAGTGTTGATTTCGACCACAGTTGCTCCGACAGCGTGGAATATCTGACGCTCAACTTTGGTCCTTTTGAGACTGTCCATCGCTGGAGAAGACTCCCTCCGTGTGATGAGTTTGTTGGTGCCAGGTAAACGTGTTGTTTGGTGGACAGATGCAGCTTTAGTTGACTGTCTTGTCTTGTTATTCGTGCTGTAACTTTCATTTTGCTCCATGTAGGCGCAGTAAGCACACTGTGGTGGCCTACAGGGATGCCATTTACGTGTTTGGGGGAGACAATGGGTGAGTAGTTCAGCACAGTAGCTGAATATCTATATTTATAGGTCACTGCATCATGTGGCTTTTGTATTTTCTGTCCCCTAATAGGAAGAACATGCTGAATGACTTGCTCCGCTTTGATGTGAAGGACTGCTCCTGGTGTCGGTGAGATTACAGCAATGCACCATGAATGAGCAACTGAAAAGAAATGCAGACCACATATGATGAATCGCCTGTGTATGTGTGATGTTCACTACAGGGCCTTCACCACTGGAACTCCTCCTGCTCCCAGATATCACCACTCAGCTGTTGTCTATGGCAGCAGCATGTTTGTGTTTGGTAATAAAGCCTTTGGTCTTCATCATCAAATGTCATTCATTCCCCTTTTTTTTAAACTCGGGGGGATATTGATGCTCTAATGTTTGACTTCATGTTTTTCAGGGGGCTACACTGGAGACATCTACTCAAACTCAAACCTGAAAAACAAAAATGATCTGTTTGAGTACAAGTTTGCAACAGGGCAGTGGACTGAATGGAAAGTGGAGGGGAGGTAATGTGTGTGTTTTTTTTTTTTAGGATCAGTTGTTTCAAAGCCAGAGCAATTTTGTGTTTTCTCCCGACATATCGGACTTTCACTTCCTATAATTGAATCAGAATCGTGTTTATTGTCAAGGAAGTTTTTACACATACGAGGAATTTGCATTGGTGCGTAAGAATCACAAAAAATCAAGTACTTTTTCAATATAAATAAAGATGGAAAAATCTAAAGCTGTACAAGAATGATATTTACAATGTGCAAGATAGAAAAACCAACAGAAGTGCATTAATGTAATGCACTATACAGGGTGGGTTTAAGAGTCAGTGTCAGTGGGGTTTCTGGGCCTTGTTAATGAGGCCAGCTGCAGACGGGAAGAAGAAGCATATATTATCACTGCAAGATGATAAATTGCCGGGGAATAGTCTGGGAATAGTCTTTTCTTACATATGGAAACACAATTTTAAGATGCATGGGGACATAAAAACTTTGTGGAAATCAAACCAACCTGCTCCTTTTTTAACAGTTTTGGGTATTTTTGGTGTAAAAATGTAAAAATAATACATAAAAAAAGCCAGTAAGAGATCATAATTTAGCCCTGCTGTCCTTTGTTTTCGTTTCAGTTTGCCAGTGGCGAGGTCTGCACATGGGGCCACAGTCTATAGTGACAAACTGTGGATATTTGCTGGCTATGATGGGAATGCCAGGTATGTTTGAATGTTTCTTTTAACACAATTGATAAACAGTTTTTCAGCATAATAGTGACAGATATTTTCCCCATGTGCAGGCTGAATGACATGTGGACCATCAGTCTACAAGATCGAGAACATGCGTGTTGGGAGGAGGCCAGTATAATACATTTTTATTATACTATAACCCAAACACCGAACACTGAACTGTATTAACGTCTCTGTCTCTGCATTTGTGGCCATCAGATCGATCAGAGTGGTGAGATTCCTCCATCTTGCTGCAATTTCCCTGTAGCTGTATGCAGGGACAAGATGTTTGTGTTTTCTGGCCAGAGTGGAGCCAAGATCACCAACAACCTCTTCCAGTTTGAGTTCAAGGGCCACATGTGAGTATATCCTTTGCCTCCGCTCATGACACACCTCACTCACTCATCCTGTAGTTGCCAGCGTTACGTGAGACATTATTCCATTTTCTCAGGTGGACACGCATCCCGACTGAACACTTACTGCGGGGCTCCCCACCGCCTCCCCAGAGACGTTACGGCCATACTATGGTTGCCTTTGACCGCCACCTGTATGTATTTGGAGGTGCGGCTGATAACACCCTGCCCAATGAACTGCACTGTTACGATGTGGACTCTCAGA